TTATCCAACATTGTTTTTCCTGAAAAATAGAGGGGCGGCTAATCCTTCCTCCCGCGCATGACCATGTTTTATGTAGAGGGTCCATTGTCAATGTGTTTTTGAACGAAAGAGAGAGAGAGAGCAATAACTTCTGGATACATTTTCATGAAATTTGACATAATAAAGAGAGAAATTATAAATTTGACATTTAATAGCCTTGATAAGGTCCTAAATTATCATCCGGCAACATCTGCAAGTCACATTAGTCCAACTCTTTGCTTTATGAACAAATAGCTCAATCTCAGCCTCAACTGCACGGTGTGTTAATAAGTTATCTTAGCGTGCCAACACGCTAAACAAACATGGCGAACCATGCTAAATATCAGCACGTTAGCGCTACCGTTGTGAGCATGTTGACATGCTGACTTTAGCGTTTAGTTTAAAAATGTCAAAGTGTGCCTCTGAGGTCAAAAGTGTGCGCTAAAAAGTGAGTCTGAAAAAAAGAAACGCATCCGTGTCCAGAAGTCAATAAGAATGAAAGTCAATACACGTGGAATTTAAATGGACCCCAAGGCTGGTATTATGGGTTGGTCAAATTAAATCAGGAAAAGAACCTTTTGAGATGCAATACTAGATATTCACTTGGTTCTGGGAAACAGAAAAAAACTGAAACAAATGAAAAGGTTTCTTATCAAGAGTGGAAAGAAATACGGGAATGGAAATCATTTCACTCCTCTGACATCAAGTGCATGAATATATTCATATATTCATATATTCATGCAGAGAAAATGCAGAGAGTAACCCAATATATGAAGAGAGACTGAAAGAGAAACAAAATAGGCTGACTGACAATATATTCACGTGTGTTGCGTTGGGCCAGTGAGGGAATTTGAAAAACCTAATGGAAAATATCATCATAGCCCTATCTTGAAGGGCTTTTTTTCGTCGGATAAAGTTGTATCGAAAAAAGTGGAGGGCGGATCTAAATCATCTTTATTTTATTAGAAATATTGAATGTCTTTAGCTTCAACAGTGGTCATGTTTTCAGGTTGTTTGTGTTGGTTAGCAGGATAACTGGATTACAATAGGAAAGATTTTGTAAGATTTTAAATAACTTCATTATGTCAACCAGCTATTACATGAATGACACAAATCTGGCACTTTTGTTGTTTCCCCCCCCCCGCTAGTTGACCAAGTAACCCAATCGCCAGAAAAAATGACGCCTGTGAGGGACATCAGGAAGATTGGAGGCAGCTGGCCATGGCCTTCGCCCTACAAGACCCGCCCCATCCGGAGGAAGTGCTGGCTTCTTCCCCTCTCACACCTGGTGTGCGGCCAGGAGCGTCTGGCAGCAGTGGAACCTTCTGGCACTCACGACGAGAATGCTCATTCTTTGTTGCACACTTGAAATGTCCTGGCCTTTGTTCATTAAAAGTATTTGTTTGTTTAGCTCCGTTCCTGAGTTTTCGTGATGTTTTGCTGTGGTTCTAGAGCCGGACCATAACAAATTGGGGGCTCGTCCGATTCGGAGACTTAAGTGGTGACGTCAGGTCCGGGGATTCCTTTTTTTTGCTCTCGTTGTGGAAACTCTCGTAGGCAGCGATGAGATGTTTTTTCTCATATTTTGTGTTTATCGTTAGTGCTATCGGCTTAATTTGGTCTGTTCTGCAAAAAAGTCACGGGACAAAGGAAGGTAAGATTTGACCTCTTTGTGGCACAAATGTTGAATTGACTCCCCTGTAGGAATATCGCGTTTCCCATTTGGGATTCGTTTGCAAATAAATGTAGTGTGGGGTGAAAGCGGTTGCGAGCAGTTGACTCGGGAGCACGTCCGTAGTGTTGGCATTGTTGCCAGCTTGCTGGTCGTTTTGTCATACTATCGGGTTTTGGTGTATAAATACCCGCCGTCAGTAGCCCTTGAAGACTAGGGTTGAGTTTAGGTAGATCTGGATAGGCAGTTAGAGGGGATGCTCAATTTACTAAGTTGCTCCTATACTTTCTTTGTGCACGGGTAAGGTCAATACTTTATGTTCTTTTGATCTCCGGGGATTTGTTTTGCGCATTGGTCATTTGTGCGTCATGGCGGGGGTGGATAACTTCATTCAAGCTCCGTCCGAGGCATTGTTAGACCAATGTACAAAGGATCAGTTTATAAGGATAGCCGACTACTATAAAATAGATGTAGGTGCTAAAAGAGTAAAAGAAAATGTTAAGGCTATTTTGAGTGCAAATTTGTATGACATGGACATTTTGACACCTCCAAAACCGTCGCCTACGTCCATTAACCTAACTGGAGCTGCTATTGTTATGGAATTGCTCCCTGACTTGACTTTAAACTTTGAACAACAGAAAGAAATGTTGATGTTAATAATGCAGCTGGAAAAGGATTTGGAATTGGAAAGAGTACGACAGCAAGCAGAGTTAGAGAAAGCGTTAGCATTGGAACAAATGCGACAGCAAACGGAAAGGTCTAAATTGGACTTAGAAAGCGAGAGACTCCAGTTGATGGGGGAAGGTAAATTGGGTGATGGTTCACGGAGTGAAGAGTCGGCTCGGCGTGATGATTCACATGAGATTGTGAATAACTTACGTTTGGTGCCAAAGTTCAATGAGAGAGATGTTGAGACTTTTTTTACGATGTTTGAACGTGCTGCCGACATGAGGGACTGGTCAAATTCGGACCGCACAATTTTACTGCAGTGTGTATTGACGGGGCGCGCTCAGGAAGCCTTCTCTTCGTTGACCACAAGTGACAGTTGCGATTATGTAAAGGTTAAGGCTGCGGTTCTAAAGGCATATGAATTGGTCCCTGAAGCTTACCGTCAGCGGTTTAGAAGTTGGAAAAGAAGGGACAAGTCGCATCTTGAGTTTGCCCGTGATTTGGGGACAAAATTTAGGCGTTGGTACTCTGTGTCAGATGTGAACGATTTTGATGAGCTGTGTAACTTGATGGTGCTTGAACAGTTTAAAAGCTCAGTCCCAGAGGGAATTGCGATGTACATCAGTGAACAAAAAGTGAAGACTGCAGGTGAGGCTGCTGCGTTGGCAGATGATTATGTTTTAACCCGCAGAAGTAGCGGCGGGGGTCCACGCACTTATGGCTTTGCTGGTAGGGAAAATGTTCCTGCCCGGTATTTCTCTGGCCGTTCTGGTGGAAATTTTCGTTCAGAACAGAGAGTTGACCATGGTGTCCGTACCTCTGACGAAATGTGTCATTTCTGCCATAAGGTAGGTCACTGGAAAAGACACTGCGATGTGCGCAGGTCTCAGAACAGGCATAATGGAGCGCAGGTGAAACCAGCCGCTCTGGCTGCGCCAGTTACCAGGTTGGTTACTTCGGACAATTTGAGTGGTCTGACATCTGTCATAACGAAGCCTGATTTAACTCGATATTTGCCTTTTATCACAAAAGGACATGTGTCTCTGGCGAGTACTGACAGGAAGGTGCCAGTAACCATATTACGTGGCACTGGAGCATTGGATTCATTCATCCTAGCGTCTGCTCTGCCTTTTTCTGCGGAAACTGACACAGGTTCATTTATACCTATTTTAGGGATGGGTATGTCTGTTTTTCAGGTGCCAGTACATAAACTTGTGCTCCACTCGGACTTATTTGAGGGAGAAGTCACAATGGGGGTACGCCCCGCTCTACCAGTCGAGGGCGTTACGCTGGTTCTGGGTAACGATGTAGCTGGGGCACGTGTCTGGGCTGAAGATCCAGCTCAACCGGTACTTGTCCCGGTACCGCTGGGTCGTAAGGGCCCGGATGAAAATGAGGAGCGGTATCCTGATGTAGTCCAGGTTTGCGCCATGAGTGCGGCCAGTCAACAGGCAGAAGCAGAGGTGGAATTGGAGAATGCGAAAATAAATGACCCCACAGAAGTGTATGCATTACCATTGTCTATCTCACATAGCAAAAAGCTGATTCCATGCTGGCTGGGCTGTTCCAGTCTGTTCTTCCAGCAGATGAGGTGAAAGATCGTGCGCACGGGTACTTCATTCAGAACGAGGTATTAGTCAGAAAGTCGGTGCCACGTAGCGAGAGTTTCATTGGAGATCCTGTTTACCAAATTGTCGTGCCCTTAAAATTCCGTGATTTGGTCTTGCGTTTCTCACATGAGTCAGGGCACATGGGCGTAGGAAAGACGTATGATCGCATTCTTAGGCATTTTTTTTGGCCCTGGATTAAGAGAGACATGGCGACCTACATCAAGACCTGCCATACCTGTCAGTTAACACTTAAGCTGGCTGCGTTGCAAGAAGATTGGAGAGAACCAACAAACAATCTGGTTCATTATGTCAAATGGGTTCCGGATTAGACTTGACTCAGCTGGGGAATTGGCAAGGTCAAAGTTGGCTAAGGGGCAAGATAGAATGAGAATTTGTATGACCATCGAACAGCACGACGTGTTTTCAGTTCAGGCATACTCTTTAGAGATGCTCGCATTAAATGGAAGGACAATAGTTTTGTTGATGCGTTATCCAGGGGCCCATGTCAGTAATTATGTTGCACCTTTTTTTCAACTTTGTTGTCTCTGTCTCTCTTAAAAATTGCTTCAAGGTACCAGTAGCTGAGATGGGATATGAGGCATTAACTGAAGGAATGGTGAGAAACTATTGAGGTGACTGAGGATAATGTATAATAGTATATATGCTTTAGAATAAGCAGGTTTTTTGAGATGTAGAGATGTGGGCATGGTTGATGTCCAGGTTCCTGTGGGGACCCTGTCTTTATGGGGAGGGGGGTGTGACGGCCCAGGGCCTCTGCCAGGGAGTGTCTATCTTTCAGTGTCCCTGGATCGTTGGAGATGGACATCAGGAAGATTGGAGGCAGCTGGCCACGGCCTTCGCCCTACAAGACCCGCCCCATCCGGAGGAAGTGCTGGCTTCTTGCACCATTGTACGTTCCTGAGATACGTTTAACATCCACACTTGCATTGTTTTTTTTTTAATGCCAAATGGTCTCATATGTCTCCGTCTTTTTTTTTTGTACCCCAGTAACTACACACAGAAGCCAGTACCTGATATGCCAAAGTCGAAGACGGCTAGATTAACAGTCATGAGCTCAGGAGGCTTCAACTTGGTCTTGCGTTTGATGGTCATATAAATGACATAGCCGTTCCCTGTTGCAGACAAGATTCCTGTAAGAAAGAGAAAGAGAGCGAGAGAGAGAGAGGTTTAACCATTTGCGCTTACACCAGTTTGGTTGTCTCTACATAAATCTGAATGCTGCTGTAGGTGGCAAAGCAAGAAGGAACATTTGTTCCGTAGAGTCTAATACTTTCATTGGATTCCCAATCGAAGGCAGCCAACTTTCTATTCATATGTATATTTGATAGCTTTGGGAGCTATAACAATAAGCAGCGCAACAACACATTATGTAACAACATCACATTATATCCAGCTCCAGCTCCGCTCCATATCCCTCCCAGTCCACGAGGTACTGGAATCCATGACCCCGCCGGCGCACGTCCAGGATCTGCCGGACAGTGTAGGCTGGGTGGTCCTCAATGATCCGGGGGGGGGGGGAACGGGCTGGAGGGCAAAGTGGACTGACGGAGACAGGTTTCAACTGGGAGACATGGAATGTGGGGTGAATCCTCAACGAAGCAGGTAACTTGAGTTTCATGGCTGAAGGGTTAATAATAGAGTCTATCTCAAAGGGCCCAATATAACGGGGCGTAAGCTTCTTAGAAGAAGTCTGTAATGGGATATCCCTTGAAGATAACCAAACCCTCTGACCTGGCAGGTACCTTGGTGCCGGGGTCCGATGCCGGTCTGCAAAGCGCTGGTTGCGTTCCGCTGATCGTAGCAAAGCCAAGCGTGCCTCCTTCCACACCCTGCGACAACGGCGAAGATGGGCCTGGACTGAGGGTACTGCAACCTCCTCCTCGTGGACTGGGAACAGAGGTGGCTGATACCCTAAGGAACATTCAAACGGCGATAACCCTGTAGCAGCACTTGACAAAGAGTTATGGGCATATTCTACCCAGGGAAGATGCTCACACCAGGACGAGGGATTCCGGGCTGTGACACACCGCAGTGTCGCTCCAAGGTCTTGGTTGGCCCGCTCCGCCTGTCCATTAGTTTGTGGATGATAACCAGACGAGAGACTGACAGATGCCCCAATAGCCTTACAGAAAGCCCTCCATACCTACATCATAGTTCTGCTCCGCGGGGGACAAACGGCGGGAGAGGAAGGCACAAGGATGGAGCTTCTTATCTGCAGCCGAGCGCTGGGACAAGACGGCCCCCACTCCCGAGTCCGAAGCGTCTACCTCCACGATGAATTGACGTATGGGATCCGGATGAACGAGGACAGGCGCCGTAGTAAAGCGTCTCTTCAGTTCAGCAAAAGCGGCATCTGCTGCGGAGGTCCAAGAGAAGGAGTTTCTGGGAGACGTGAGCTAGGTCAGAGGTGCCGCCACTCTGCTGTAGTCGCGGATAAACCTCCTGTAAAAATTGGCAAACCCCAGGAACCGCTGGAGCTGTTTGAGGGAGGTGGGTCTGGGCCACTCTGCCACTGCCTGAGTCTTCCTTGGGTCCGTCCTCACCTGCCCGCTCTCGATGATGTACCCCAGGAACTCCACCGAAGCCATGTGAAAGTCACACTTCTCCGCTTTAACATAGAGCTTGTTCTCCAGTAGCCACTGGAGAACCTGTCTCATGTGCCGAATGTGTTCCTCCGTGTTCCGGGAGAAGATTAAGATGTCATCTATATAAACAAAAACAGATCGGTTTAGGAAATCGCGAAGGACATCATTAACAAGAGCCTGGAAAACTGCAGGGGCATTAGTCAGCCCAAAAGGCATGACCAGGTACTCAAAGTGACCCAGGGGGGTCCGGAAAGCAGTCTTCCACTCATCTCCCTCCTTGATACGGACCAGGTGATATGCATTTCGGAGGTCGAGTTTTGAGAAGATGGTGGCTCCCTGTAGTGGTTCGAAAGCTGAGTTTATAAGGGGGAGAGGATACTTGTTTTTAACTGTTATGTTATTCAACCCCCGGTAGTCAATACAGGGACGGAGGGTACGGTCCTTCTTGGACACAAAGAAAAACCCAGCGCCAACCGGGGAGGATGACGGCCTAATTATACCTGCTGCTAGAGAGTCTCGTATGCAAGTCTCCATGGACTCCTGCTCCGGGCGAGACAGGTTGTACAACCGACTAGCGGGTAAAGGAGCACCAGGCAGCAGGTCAATGGGACAATCATAGGGTCGGTGCGGGGGTAGAGAGAGAGCCTGCTTCGTGCTGAAAGCTTCCTTTAGATCCTGATACATCGAGGGAACAGCTGCCAGATCCAGGGGTTTGGTGGCAAGCGCGGGGGCATCGCCTTCTGTTGGAGCTCGGGCAGATCTCAGGCATGAGGAATGACAAAAAGAGCTCCAGCTCTGAACCCTACTCTTCGACCAATCAATCTGGGGATTGTGGAGCCTTAACCAGGTCTCACCGAGAACCAAGGGGGTGTGAGGGGAGGATATGATATGGAGCTGAATGAACTCGTGGTGATCACCCGACAACACCAGGTGCAGTGGTTCTGTGACATGGCTAACATGAGCGAGAAGCCTTCCATTTAGAGCGTAGGACCGGAGGGGAGTGTTTAGTGGCTGGATGGAGATTCCGGCTTGGGAAACCAGGCCTGAGTCGATGAAGCTCTCATCCGCTCCTGAATCCACTAAGGCACGTAGGGGAAGGGATTGTTGGTTCCACATGAGGGTAGCCTCAAGCTGCATTCTGGTCTGTGGGACTGAAGAGGGAGTAGTTTGGCTCACCAGTATCCCCACCTCTACTGACGAGCCTCCTCTTTTGGCCGCTGGGGGCAGGAGGCCAGGAAATGACCAGCCTGGCCACAATAAATGCACACTCCTGCTCTGATCCCATGCCCAGCTGCATGGGTTCCTCTGCTGGAGAGCAGGGAACAGGGACAGCAGGAAGGGCCTGGAAACTCGAAGCTGGCCCATGGCTGGTTCTCACGGGAGGGGGAGGGGAAGAGGCTGAGTAAGGGAATGGCATACTAAGAGGGCAGCTAGGTCTCTCTCTCCTAATCTCACGGAAGCGACTCTCTAGTCTGATGGCAAGGGCAATTAGGGCATGAAGAGTCTCCGAGTCATCCCTAATTACTAATTCCTCTCTCACAGGGCTATTAAGCCCTCTGAGAAAGACCCCCTGGAGAGATATGTCGCTCCACCCTGAACCCTGTGCAATAGTCCTAAAGTCTATGGAAAACTCTGCTACACTACGAGAGCCCTGACGTAGGGAAAGTAGGCGTGAAGAAACTTACCGCTAATGGGGTGATCAAAAACCCTACGCATCTCATCAGAAAAGCTCTGGTAGGAGGAGTTAGCTGACGACTGACTGTCCCATACACTGGTAGCCCAGGCTAGTGCCCTCCCGGTAAGTGACCCCATAACAAAAGCAACCTTCGCTCTCTCTGATAAATACCTAGAGGGTTGCTGATCAAACACTAAGGAGCATTGCATTAAAAAGGACTTGCATGTGCCCAGTTCACCAGTGTAATGTTCTGGCGCAGGGACGTGTGGCTCCCAGGGGCAGAAGGCGAGCTGGGTGGGGGTTTGAGGAGGAACTGGAGGAGCTGCAGGAGCTTCCGGGGCAGGAGGGGAAAGGGCAGGGCAGGCAGACTGGGGAACCGGGAGGATGGAAAAACTGCAGGAACAGAGAGACAGGGTTAAAGCGCTGAAACAATACTTGAGGAAAACTCTGAATTAACTTCAAACAGAGCGGCCAAGAACTACTAGCTACCGCGTGAGCTGTAAACAACGATCTGGCAAAGAGTGGATGAAGAACCGGGGTAGATATACTGTTGGGTTGATGAGTTGATGGAGTGCAGCTGGCTTGACTGGGCAGGTGAGGTGAGTTGTAATTAGGAAGCCAGGAGGAGACCAGGTCGAAGCCCTGCCCATAAGATACACACACGGGATAAGCAGGAGGCACGGCCTGGCCGTGACAATGAGCACGCTATCTAAAATCAACAAACTACGGAAAAGGGGGGGAGTGTGTGTGTGCGCATGTAGTGTGTGTCTAGGGGGGAGGGGCGAGAGAACAGCTCAGACAGGCACCAGCCAATTTATTTACTCTGCTTTAGTCCCCCCCCCTGCACAGGAGCAAGACACACCAGATACTATACTATCATTTTGCTTGACTTGTTGGTCATTTCACATCTGTTTTAGGCCATTTTGAGTCCCTTTGTAGTTGTTTGCATTGCATTGTAGTCATTTTGTACGTCTTTGTGGATGTTTTACATCTGTTTGTTTCCAACAAGAAATTTCACTTCATCGAGAGGTACTGGTTCAGGGGTCTTGAGACTGTACCCAGTAGGCCAATTCAGCAAACCATCCATGACACCAACAAGCCAGCTATCCACTACCTTCTGACTCCAAATCCTGTTCGTTGACTTATTACAACCAGAAATATCAAAGGGAGAGCAACAATGGCATGAGACGTATGAAAAATGTCTATTTGACTGGCTGGATAGAAGCAAAACTCCTTGAAAACGCTTTGGGAAGGATCCCGGAGCTCCTTGTTTGTCCAGATGGTTAAAGGGAACTAGTACCAAGTAAACATCCGGAGAGGCTTCGAGGCAACAAACATGGTTTTCATGACAAATTTGAGAGTACCTGGGGCCCAATTATTGGACATTTTTGAGGCCTTTGTAAACTTGGCCCCTCTTTTTCAATAACTGTTTTTTCCAAATGTTTTTGTCATGAATACTTTCACACAGAACGCAAATATTACACAGCAAAAAAGTAACAATCATTTATTGGAGTGAGGTTGATTTTTCTGAGCATTTGCAACACGAAAAAAAAGGCATCAACCACGTGCGGAAGGGACAAATTCAAAACGTAAACAATATTTTACAACAACTCGGAGGCGCCTTAGTTTGAACCAGAACGACAAACTTTATTACTACTTTCTACCTTGACAATGGCAGCACTGACCAGCTCCGCTCCTTCTGTTCTTACCTTTCACAATATAAGCCATAGACATGAACAACTGTTTACCAGAGGCAACTCAAATTCACTCAGGGCATTTTGCTTAAAGGAAACTCAATAAAGTAGCTTACAGTAGCTTAGGCTATACAACAGTTTAGCTCAGACGGACTGCCAGACAATGCTCTGGATGAATAGGATCCTGGTAGTTGCTCCTCTGCCTGTGCAAATCTATTCAAATCTTGTATTGACAAAGTGCTGCAACTTTGATGCAAAATAGTCACAGGCCGGTATTTATGCATTTTACGTGGTGTTTATTGGTCACGACCTTCACACTACCGTTTGTTAGCTGAAGCCCTTACTGCATGATACCCAGTTTTGCTATTCTTAGCCATATGCTTTTTTTATGACATAGGCTGAGACATTGTTATATTTATCTCTGTCTATTTTTTTCAACTGTCTCTAGGCAAGAAAATAGAAGGAAAACAAAACACATGAGGTGAAATAAAGCTGAGTCAGAGAAAACCCAATTTCCAATCCCCTCTAACCGCATTTACAAATATAATGCGTTCTTCCCCATTCTCGTTTAAAAAAGCCTTAATAAAATGTCATGATTTATTAATGGTAGAAAGGGAATGAGGCAACTTTACGTTCTGAACTTATACTGTGTGGTCTCAACAATGACCCCCTTAGAACACCTCCAGAAGGAATTGTCAGTAATTTGAATTGCTGTTATTACTAAAATGTGCTCATAACTTAATTTCTGCTATGGAATGCATCATTTGTCTGCACGAATTAACTAAAAGTAATGTTGCAGATAATAGTGATATGCAACTGTACGTACTGTATATGTATCGCCATCCAAAATAAAATTAGAACCGAAACTGAATCCACTTTTTTCTGCCATTTTGTCAAATTTTCCAAATCCTTGTTAATTTTATTCATTTTCTAACAGATCTAGATTTTCCATTTTGTACAAGTAAGATCACTAAGATCACTCGAATGCCAAGCCCTGAAATGAAACATTGAACTGCTTCTCAATGGCCTGTTGATATTATAGATTTCAAAGAACAAAGAGCCACTTCAAACAGTTATCGCATGTCTCAGATTGTTCTTTTCATCTTACCTTTATCCTTATTGCCTCGCAGTGAGATGTTCATGTTCCAACACATTATCATTAAGCCTGATTGCAGCAACACTCAACGTCACTTTTATTGAAATAAAAACATTTATCAAGAGAAAAGCAATCTTTGAGATCAGACTGACCTATGATGCAGATGTAAAAGGCGGCAATGATATCCGCCTTTCTGGACAGTTTCGAAGCGAAAGGGTCACCATGGAGGAGATAATGGGGGATGTATGAAGGGTGCAGCCACGTCTCGTTCTCCATCAGTGGGGGATGTCCTGTGGAGTGGAGGAAAAGGGTCAGACAATGGGGCTGCTCCCTCAAATATAAAAACCTTCCACACACACATACATACACAGGTATCAGGTAAACAGTTTCCAAACTTTTTTTGATTGGGGTGTCCAAAGTGGGACACTGATGTACGTGTGCCTGCACACACACACAAACACACACACACACACACACACACACATACACAAACACACACATTGGAATGGCATTTATTTACCATTTCTGTCCCCACAACACATAACTCTGTTACAATATCTTATGGTTTCTGACATTTATGTGTTTAATATTGTAATTTAAAAAGATACATAGACTTCCCAATCACAACACAACAGAGTACAAATACAAATATAACATAAATCTTCCATACTTTCTGTTGTTCCTCAAAAAGAAATTGCACCTCCAGAAGTAGGCTTTGGCTAAATAGAAATGAAAACAAAGAACATTTAATAATACCGTCACAGTGTCAAGGTCTGGCTGGCAGATAGTCAATCATAGTTGAGGATAATGGGGCGGCCAATTCGATTTCAGGGGTGACCCGTGCTGCACATCCCCCTGAAACCTTCCACCATAAATTACAAGTAGATGGCCGCAATAACACTAAATCATATTTTTTTTAGGGTGATGAAGACATTAAATATGACAGCAAACATTCAAGGCTTCATTTGAAAATCTCAATCAAAGAAAAAAAAGTAACATTCAATCCAGGGCAAAGTGAAAGTGAAGCCAAAAATACCTAGATCGCCCCCTGGTGGCTGGCTGCAAAACAGTGCAGAAACCATGTTAGCCGATGGGGACATGGCCAAACTAAAATAAATCAAAGTACACGTCAAATACACAGTTTTTCTCTCTTGCTACCAAGCTACGACCGTGTGTGGCTCGTGATTGGTTCCACGGGGTGTATGGGTATAACCTCAAATGAGCAAGATATTAGGTCCCGTAAGGACGCATCGTCCACCTGTATCGACAGTCGATGGTGAGGACATGTTCTCGGGGTTAGGTCAGTGTCAGTTATGCTGGTTCAAGAATACCAAAAAGGAACTTATCATAGGTTGTTTTTCACACAAGACATTTTGACTTGTCACAGTAGGATATAATAACAAAATTGATGATGGCTGAATTCCATTTAACTACTTCAGTTTCAGGGTCCTGGTATTGTGAATGTTGGCCATGGACTGTAAAGTGGACGTAGTCGCCGTGATGTCCCCCATTGGTTTTGAAGCCTTGAGTTTGGCATTTTGGCCATCGCCATCTTGTTTTTTGCAACCAAAAATTAAATAAAATAGTGGGGATAAGAAAACAGCTACAACCGATATTTTGGTGACCAAAATTTTACAATGAACTTTTATGAACTGAAACACATTGTAAAAGGTTTTAAGTTGGAAGAAAAATTCACGGACAACTCCCAGACCAGACAACGAGATGGTAGTGACCAGTCAATCACAAAGTAGCTCCGCCCTAAATCATACCCTGCTTTACATTCTATTTAACTCTAAATGGACCATAAATTTACTAAATGAACATCACGCTGTGTTGAAGAAGACTTGAAACTAGAGATTGAGAACATAAACTCATGTTTACAATGTTTACTGAGGTAATAAATGAAGTGAGAAGTAGATCTTCTCATGGACTTCTATATAACCGGACTTCTTTTAGCAAACAGAAGAGTCAATTCGAAAATATGCAAGTTTAAGGCACTTTCACAGTTGCTTCACTTTTCAGCCTTATCAAGGTGAATAAATGTGAGATGTGGGTTTCAGCCTGTCTACTGCTTGTATTTACTGCAGCATATGGATAATTGACTCAGTAGAACTTTAACATTGTTGTTTCTCTAGGTAACAGGACCTAGCTGGCTAAATCTGGTAGTTGTTGTTGCATTCGCTCGCTTAAGAGGCAGGAGGCATGTGACTGGCCGAAAGGTGAGAGGGCGGAGACAAACACCACTGTCATGACAAGTGACATTATGAATTAGAAAGTGACATGAAATAAAAGTGTCATTTGGGAAAATGCCATAAGAAATAAGAACAGACTTCTGAAAAAACATATTTTGAAATAAAATGTTCTATACTATACAATTCTAATTATGAACTCATTCATTTATATGCTATATTTAGATAATATCATATGTGCATTCCACTACAGCTTGGATTTGATTACAGGTCAGTTCAGGTCAAGTCTTTTTGTTGCTGAATTAATTAAAAGACACTTTTGGGTCAGTTGCACTACTGAGCTCTGTTTTGGAAGTACTGCCCACAGCACAGAACCCCTGATTGTCAGAGGGCATTTTGCCCACTGACTTTGGCTTTTGCCTGGGTTTCATAACAGTCAATCTCTTCTTTAAATAAAGACTAACCTAAAAAGTAAAAAGCATACATTCCGATTTCCCCCCCCCCACATTCAAGAAGGGAGGAAGATGAGGTATTGCATAATACAGGCAAACATGGATATACCACCAGGGGAAAAGTCCTTTTACTAACTGGACTTTTACTTTTGAAGGTATATAAATGCAGGCTCAAACTTTTGCAAAACCTACACTTGTGCTGTGTGCGTGGGTGGCAATTTCGCTCGCCTACCCAGATCAAATGGCAGTGCTAATTACTCCAAGTGTAATTAGCACTCCAAGTACCCATGCTGTGATCCAAGGCATTAGAACATGGCTCTAAATATATGACAAGGTATGAGATGATTAAAAATATTGTTGTCCTGGAGCATTAAATGTAAGGCTGTATGCTGCCTTTTAAAAATGCAAGTGTTTTTTTAATAACGCTAGCTTGTCCTAAAACGTTGGCTTGTCTGACAATAATGTCAGATGTAATACAACGTTAGCTGGCAACGTAGCTAAATATGGTAACTTCTGTTTATCGGTTGCAAAAAAAAACCAAGATGGTGATGGCCGTAATCCAAGATGGCGAACTCGCCAAACTTGAGGCTTCAAAACGGCAGTACACAAACCGATGGGTGACTGCACCATTGCATTTGTTGCATAAAACATTGGGCGTTTTCAGATTCAGCCCAAAGACTTAAATTGGTACTTAGGTGCCTTTCCAAAACTAAAATCTTCAGATCCACAGATCAACTGCACAACTCGCAATGATAGCAACCGGGTACCCAAACTAAATCACATGCATGAAAAGTTCTACTCTTGCCGACATGCGGTTGTTGGCCAATGAGGTTTTTGAGCTGCTTTTACCACATGTGGACTAACGGGGTCAGGAGGAGTCATGTCGTGTCCCTGTTATGGCTTATATATGCCGGGGGCATTTTTTTTGGTCAATATATGTTGTCAATCTTTTTGCTTTCGTCCTGAATACTCTCACACAGAACACAAACATATGGAGCGTGACGTCATTTTTTGTTTGTTTTCCAAACAAGGTCGATTTTTTTTTTAGCTTTCGCAACATGAAAAAGTGCATGAACCAATCGTGTTTTAAAGAACGGAAATAGTCAAAATGTACACTATAGTGTACAACCAAACCAAAGCTCTATGGTCCAAACCAAGACGGAAAAAAATGGAATTACTCCTGTATACCGGATCCACTCCTTCTGATCTCAGTTTTCAAATGAAAAGCCCTACACATAAAGACTGCATAACTGTTTACCAGAGGGAAATCAATTCAGGAACTCCATAAAATAGCTTAAAGTAGCTTAGGCTATACAACAGTTTACCTCAGACAGACTGCCAGACGCTGCTCTGGGTCAATAGGATCCTGGTAGTTGGTCCTTTGCCCGCTAAAGTCTTTTTATCGGAAAAGTGTTGCAACTGTCGTAAATTTGCATTGCTGCCGGTGTGAATAGTTTTAAGCAACTGCTTTAGATGGCGGCACCTAATAAAATCAAGTGCACGCTATATCTAGATTATTTTAACTTCTTTACCTTACCGTCAGACAGCCTTTTCTGCCGTTATCTATGCTCTCTTTACTAAACCATATTCCTTTCTGTTATTGTCCAAAGTCACACAATACCATAAACTAACTAACCCATTGAGGCAGTGACAGACCAGCTACTCTCATGATCTGCAAGTTAAAGTTGCTGTTTTTTTGTCAATGGAGTCCTTTAGCTTTGAAGAGAGTCTGGATAAGTTTCACTTTCAATTCCGATCCCAATCAGAAAGGGCTGTCAGAAGGCAAGGTAAAGAGGTGAAAGCATTCTAAATATAGCATACACATAAACTGATATTGATTATTGTAGGTGTCAAAGATAGCAGTACTTTACTTTGCTACATTACTCCTGCTTGCTTCTCCAGATTCCATCTACTGTAGGCTCCTCATACAATCACACTTCATCACAGGAGGTCATGTGACCTGTAAGATAACAAGGAAAGATTCACCTCTTTGCCACCAGGGACATGGCCGCTAATTGGTTATTAAGCAAGGGGACATTCATCAGGTCTCATTACCCTTGTGTTACTGTCTCATGCAACAGTGCATTGGCAATTGTTCCACGAGGAGTATATTATTTAACAAAGTTATTTTAGTAAATATTTTAAAGGTTTGTACATATCAAGCTTTATTTCAATGTGACTTTTAGGTTGTATGGAGATAGTGTCATCTCATAACCAAGAAGGAGCTTATGAAGGCAAATCACTGTCTAAATCAGAGAGTGCAAATGAGATCCACGCGCGTGTAGAGGTCCTGCATATCTCTGCTCGCACGAGCAAAATTGCAGCCTGCAAGGAGAAAACCATGCTTTGAAACTAGCATATTATCACTGTATGAAGTTATCATGGCAACCGTGTTTTCAAACGATTTCTTATTTAAACGCATACTCAAAGCAACACTTTTCAGAAGCGGAGGTTGCCGTCTGGCAAATCTATTTGAGCATTTATTGAAAAAGTCGTGCAACTGTCACAAATTCGCATTGCCGCTGGCATGAATAGTTTTGATGCAAAATATTCGCAGGAGAGAACTGCACACCGTTTGGTGCTGTGCAAACAGTGTACACTCTATCAAGCCTCTATAACCCAAGGCTTGAAATGTACTTTAGTAATCCATCACAGTGAACAGCGTGTGTCCAATTTCTGTCAAACAAATACTATTATTGCAGCCAGGAGAGCACCGTTAGTGCCTGTAGAAAAGCATCCATCTTTCTTTTCTTTTCTTCTAAATTACCTCTTACAAAGGGAAAATGATGACAAAGGGCCGTTTCTTTTTCATTGCATTCTGGCACTACTTTGCAGTACCATCCGAAAGAGACAAACCGCCTGATTCAGCAATTACCTTCCAAGAGAA